AGCTGCTGGGGAGGAGCATACTAACCCCTACCAGAGGTAATTACTGTACGGCCAGAAAGCTCTGTGCAGGTGCTGCCTTCTTTAGGCACGTGCTCTGTTTGCTCTTCCTTCCTTTGGGCACTGCCCACCAGCTGCATTCTGCTGAGCACAGGTTTCTGAAGTGCACAGGTCCTCAACTTGCTGCACAGAGCAGCAGTACCACCACCAATCCTCCTGTTTACTTGTCCCCCTGCCATGCAGCCTCTGTGAGCTGCAGATATTTGTCTAACCAAACTTTCTGGCTTTATGGCTTATAGTGAAAAAATGGGCAAACAGAACCCAGGTACCCCAAGCCCAAAACCCACAGCACACGGGAGAGGCTCTGGCTGCCGTCCTGCAGAGCCATACCCACAAAATTTTGCCTACCAACAGCTCTCACCCTGGGCTGTAGATGCTGCTCTTGGAAGCTCTGGGAGAAAAATACACCAAGCTTTAATCCTTGATGTTTTTTGGAGAGACAGAGTCAGGACACACCAGATCACAGCAAACACCCAGGGTCTGTGGTTCACAAGTCCAAGACCACGCAGACTCTGTGCCCACTTGGGTCAGCCCTGCCTGGTGCTGCTCTGCACAGGGCTGATGTGCCGTGGGTGCATGGGGCCATTATACAAGGCCAAACTTTTATCCTCTGCAGGAAGCAGCCCAGGATCTCTCCCAGGGGCTCAGGGAACAGCACAGCTCTGCAATCTCAGGGTCCTTGGCTCTGCCCTTCTGCCTGGGGCATCAGCATGGCAGCTGCCCCGACCCCGTCCCAGATGCTGAAGTGCCTCTCCCCAACTCTGTGCCTCATCTCAGGGGCTCGATAAACATCTGTTGCCATAGAGATTTGCTCAAGCTGCCTTCCCTGCGTTGGTTTCACCCAATAAGATGAAACAAGAGACGCACGCTTCACTCAGAAGAAAAAAAAAAACAGGAAGAAAATGTTTGGCTTGAAACCATATTGGGGGTGAGGGTCAGACCGGCAGCATGCAGAGCAAACAGTCCATTAGGCAAACAATGGGGAGGCTCTGCAAGGGGAGCCACATGGGCCGGCACTGCAAACATTATTTAAAATAATATCAATACAGTAACTTTGAAAGTAATCCTGCTGTGACCTTGGGGCTTTCCACCCTGGGAAGAGGCAGCCAGGGCTGAGGTGACACTGCTGGTCCCAGTGACCCCGTGGAGCTGACGGCCAAAAGAGGCACAGCGGTGCCAGGGTCCCCATGTGGCCACAGTGCAGAGCAGAGCACAGTGGGAGCCTTCGTGGTGTGACCCCTTACCTAAGGCTGGGGTTTGCCTCAGCTGTGAACTCTGCACAGGGCGATGTCCAGCAGAAAGCCCTCCAGAATGGAGGCTGAGCGCGGTGCCGCCCCAGTGAGCGCAGCGCCGCCGCAGCCCCGAGTCTCTGTTTCGACTTCGAGCAGGGGTGAAAAACGAAGGAAGCGTCGAATTTGCGTATTTGCATCAGAAGACACCCAGCCCCGAGCTCGGAGCCAGCAGGAGCAAGGCTCGCTCCTTCCCCATCCCCCGGGCCGCGATGAAGGAGGAGAGCGGGAGGCCGAAGGACGCGGAGCGATGCGCTGCGCCCGGTGCGCGTCCCGGTGCAGTTCTGAGTGCCGGCGGGCGGTGGCCCCCGCGCCGTGCTCAGCTGCCGGTAGCGGCCCCGCACAGCCCCGCACAGCCCCGCTCCGCTCCCGCAGTGCCGGAGGAGCTGTGAGAGGCCCGGAGATGATGGAGGTGTGGGGGGAGCTGCGCCCAGGTGCTGCCCGAACTCGGAACGATTCCCAGCCCGGCTTCTCTTTACGCAAACTCCATAACCCGAAGCCGTCGGCAGACGTTGTCCTTGCGTCCTTCCCAGCCCTTCCCTTCGCATCTCACACCTCGCACGCATTCACCGCGCGACATTTCAACCCCGGCCAACAGCCAAACCCCCGCCTGCAGCCGCTCAGCCCTGCGCTGTGCCTCCCCCTTCCATCCCCACGTAATTCATTCCCCACCACCCCCCCCCCCTCCCCAGGGCTGAGGGTCACGCAGCAGGGAGAGGCCTGTTGTGCATTGCATCCCAATTTGCTATGCATTTCCACACCATTTGCTCCCCTTTCTTTTTCCCATACTAGAAAGATGCTTGCTACCCAGGGGTCCAAACTGCTCCAAGATGGTAACATAACAACAAACATCGACATACATACATTTATGTTCTTTTGGCACACACGGTTTGCAGGAAAACTACTGCTCTGGGGGACGGCCCACACCCCTATTGCCCCCACACCCCACCACAGGACCCAGCAGCAGAAGCTCTCTGCTGTTCCATGTCACACAGCTGCACGGTTCCATCCCCATCTGTGCTCAGCCTGATGCTATGCAGACCTCCATGCCTCAATTCCCCGATGCTTTAGGAAAACCAGCATTTGCCCACAGCAAATACGGCCACAGTGGCACACACCTCTCCCCCTCCCCAGTCTGACTCTTTGAAGCCAGGGGAGTTTTGTGCCCTTGGCACACCCCCATGTCATGCATGACGTCGTGGCTGCCCACCTCCATGCAGGTGACAGAGCTGTGGGCTGTGGGAACGACCTCACAATGTTGATGGAAGGAAAAAAGAAAGCCAAGCTGGATTATTTGATATTTTACCAATGGGAATGTAACTGCACCTTCAGCTTCCGAATGCTGCAGTGTGTTCCTATGGGCTGGCGAGCAAGAAAGCAAAACGCCACGCTGCTTCACCTCTGTGAAAACAACTTGCTGTCCAGAAACATCCACACTCTTCTGAAGCCCACTGCAGCATCCTGTAATCCACCCCACCAACCTCACCCCAAGGTTCTGCTCTGTGGGTGCAGATGCTCCTCCCTCACCTGAGCACAGCGCAGCCCTGTTCACCACCACGGCCCCCCCACGCATGGCCCATATTTGGGAAGAGCTATAAAATTATATTCCACCAGGTCAGGTCATGGCTCTGCATCTCTTTTTTAAGGTGCTCACTGTCCTGATGCCATCAGGCACACGTGGTCAGATTTGTCATTTGACCACACAGCTCCATCTTTGGAGCTTAAAGCCATCCAATAACAGGAAACCTGGGACTGAGCTGAGGATGCTGGCACCCCACACCAGCCACCATCGAGACAGGGAATGCCGACGGAGCAAATCCCCACACAGGGTTGGGATCACTATGGGGTGACCCGCAGTGCCAGGGGGGGGCACTGCAATGCAGAGCACGCAGCTCCCAGCTGTGAGGATGGGACCCAAAGGTCTCTAGCTCAGCAAAGCGACAGTGGAGCAACACAGAAGTTTTCCCCACTGATGGCAAAGGGAGCTCAGTTCAGTCGGTGTGGGACACACACGGTGTGCTGGGATGCACAGCATTCCAGGAATGTGGGTTGTGGAAACAAAGGGATGGCGTTGGTCAGGAGGGTCACACAGGAACAACAGCTCATCCAACACAGCACTGCAAACACGGCACACGCTCAGCCCCCATGCAGACCCAGAGCTCTGCTGCCACCTCCCTGCCTCAGCTTCTCCCAAGCTCAGGCAGACAAAGCACCAACACCCAACCCAGCCTCTCCCTCGGCGCTCTGCGAAGGAAGAAACCCATTATCGCGTTTTTGCATCCTGCAGAGGAGCTCAACAGCACCGACACTGAGATGAGCCAACCCTCAGGAGGGAGCCCACCCAGCGCTGCAGGAACACGGGCTGATTTCCTCGGCGTTCTTATTTCCTCAGGCTTATCGTTCCCTCGGTGCTCCTTGACAGGCAGTTCAGGCCCTGCACATCCCTGCCCAGTGCCAACACAAAGCAGCATCAACGCCAAAGTGTGCAGGATGGAAACTCTCACATGGTCGTTTTTTCCTTTGCACACAAAGACCAGAGCCGACGAAAACCAAATTAACTTAAAAAAATTAAAAGGTGCGGTGCTGGCTCTTATATTTCTACATCACTTTCGGCTGACAAAAAAAATAAATAAATAAACGCTTCTAACCATTCTTCTTGTCAGCGAACATCAACAGCCAAAAGAAAACAATCAGCTGTGACACCACCCGACGTCGGCTGAGCACCTGGTGGGGACGCAGCGCCCCGACCTCCCGGCAGCTCCGTCCCCTCCCTCCATGCAGCGGCACGCCGGGCCCGGAGGAGCGCGCAGAAGGGATTCTGACGCCGGTATCGCTTACCCGACACGGGCGGCCCGGGTTGCGGGCGGGCGGGACACGCCATGGCCCGCTCAACCCGAGGCGGTCGGGCTGCGGAGGTTCCTCGCCCCGTGGCTCTCCCGCACGGTTATTACCCGCAGGCTCCGGGCCCGCGGCTGCGAAATCCGCGCGGTGCTGACTCATCTCCTCCCATGCCCGCAACGCACCGTGTGCCGCTGCTCCACGCCCCCCGCGCTGCCCCGCGTCGCTCAGTCGCGGGGAACGAAGCCGCGCCGGGCGCTGCCGGGCTGCCACCCCCCGGTGAAACGCGGTTCGCTCCCCCCGCGATGAACCGTTCAGAGCCAGAACCGGTGGCAACAACACAACTCCGGTTCACCGCGGGGCCGGGCGTGTGCGGAACGCCTCCGGCCCGGTGGGTTCCCCCCCCTCTCCGGATGCTCCGAAAGGCGATACGGGACCGCGGGGTCGGTCCGGCTCTCGCCAACCCCAGGCGTGTGCGGGGACGCCGCGGCATCTCCCCCCAGCCCCGCGCCGCCCCCCCGGCCCCGCGCCCATCGGAACAAAGCCCAGCGCCCGCTCCCGGTGCCGGGCCGAGCCGGAACCGCCCCATTGTCCCCGCGCTGCAGGAAGGGGAGGGGTCGCGCAGACAATGCCTCCCCCCACCCCCCGCCGGCTCGCCCCGCCCCCCGCTCTCCATTGGCCGGCGGGGAATTTGGGGAGCCCCCCCTCATCTCCCTTTGCCTTCCTCCCCCCCCCCATGGGGGCGCGCGCGCTGCATTGTGCCGGGGGGCGCGCGGGGATGGGGGGGGCGGGGGCGCGCGCGGCCGCCGTCGGGGGCGCGCCCGGGGGCTCCCCTTGTGTGTGTGTGTGTGTGTGTGTGTGTGTGCGTGCGTGTGTGTGTGTGTGCGTGTGTGTGTGCGGGGCCGGAGCGGGGCCGGCCGGCGCCATGGAGGAGCTGAGCAGCGTGGGAGAGCAGGTCTTCGCCGCCGAGTGCATCCTCAGCAAGCGGCTCCGCAAGGTGGGCCCCCCCCGCTTCCCGGCGCCGCCGTCGCCGCCGCCGCTCCCGCCGCTAACGCGCGTCTCTCCGCCTCTCTCCGCAGGGCAAGCTGGAGTACCTGGTCAAGTGGCGGGGCTGGTCCTCCAAGTGAGCGGGGCGAGCGCGCGGGGCGCGGGGTGCCGCCGCCCGGCCGCTTTTGTTCGGGCCGCGCCGCTCCTTTTGTTTACAAATAACGCTGCCCGGCCCTCCCCGTCGCCGCGTGGGGCTGCTCCCCCCTCCCGCCGGGCCGCCACCCCCTTCCCCTCCCGCCCCCCCGAGCACAAGCACCGATCGCGCGTCCCCTCCCGCCGGGCGACCGGGGCTGCCCGCGCTGCGCGGGGATCGCCTCGCGGTGCGGCGGCGTGGCCGCCCCCGGCCTGCCCGGCCCGGGCCTCTGCCGCGGGTTGGGGGCTCCGCGCCGCCGCTGCCGCGATGCTCCCGGCCCGGCCGTCCCTTCCCCAGCCATCCCCATTCCGTCCTCGGCTCCCCGCCTCCCGGCCACCTTCGTCCATCCGCGGCCATCCCCGTCCCCTGCCATCCCTTCCCCCTCCGTCCCCGGCCGTCTCCTCCCCGGCCGTCCCCACCCCAGCTCTGCCGCCGTGGGCGTCGGGTCCCCATCGCAGGGCTGCCCCACGACCCGGTTGTCCTCAGATGAACTCCCCGGGCCCGGCCGGTACTGGGGGTGCGGGGGGGGGGGGGGGGAGCATCGGTCTCCCACTCTCTCCCAGTGCGCATCTTCTGTTCCAGGCACAACAGCTGGGAACCCGAGGAGAACATCCTTGATCCAAGGCTCCTCCTCGCTTTCCAAAAGAAGTGAGCAAACTATAAATATTTCTTAACAAACGATAAAGTCAATTAACTTCTAATTGGCCACGCGTGCAGTGGAAGTTGTGGAAACAACAGCCTGAAGCTTCCCGTGCCTTTTTGTGGCCCGGCCCTTTTGTTCATCTCCTGAAATTACCGTTCAGGTCCACCTAGGACGCCTCTCCCAGGGCTGGGTAAACACGGAGGATTTATGGCCCTGTGCACAATATGTTTGTGCTCCTGCTGCACAATGGGCGCACGGCAGCGCCCGGCAGAGCTCGTGCTCCCATCCCACAGCGGGGCTGTGCCGGGGGGTGGCCTTGTGCCCGGGTTGCAGAGCGGTGAGAAAGGCACCGGTGTGTGTTTATGGAGGGCACAGCTCTGTGAGGAGTGAGGAATTGATGGGTGGGAGAAAATGGTGTCCTCTGCCAGAGCCGGGGCTGCTCCGCTGAGCCGAGCTGCAATTGTTCTGCAGCTATTATACAGCGGGCGTCAGGCTTGGGGCTAGAGAATAGCCAGCTGGCTGCAAGGAACGCAGCGCTGCCAAATATTTTGGCTCCGTATTAATAAAAAATCATTAAAGTTTATGATAGGATTTAATTACAGCTCATTTCTGGATCCTTTTTTTTTTTTCCCCCTTCACGGAAGGAAGCTGCCGGTTAAATCCCAGGCAGCGCGCTGTTCAATTAGCAGCACGCGCTGCAGCTCGGCGCTGCCCTTTTTAAATGGAGGAACACCACACAGCACAGGAACATCAGCAGTGCTCTTTGTGCCCAGCCTGCAGGGCTGAGGGTGGAGAGGTGAAACGAGCACAGGGGAAGGCGTTTGCTTTCACTCTGCAGGGGGGCCAGGCTGCTGCTTGCTGCAGAGGGGAAGCGCGGCTCTGAGCGCACCAACAAGGAAGGGCTCTGCAGACAGCTCGGATGCTTCCGTTTGCCTGTTCCCATTGTAGCAGGAAAAGCAAGAGTGGGAAAAGCTGCTGCTCAGGATGGGGCACGCTGCGGTGTGTCACTGAGCGCTGGAAACTTCTTGCTGGGGCTGTGTTGTTGTAGGGAATAGGGATGAAGATGAACAGCTCTGGGTGCAGAACGTTCTCAGGTCCCGGCGCAGAGCCATGTTGGGCACAAAGTTCTTGGAAAGCACCACAAAAAGCAGTGCTGGTTTTAGGAGGTGCCTCCAGAACCAAAGTGCCATGGCAGCCCTTGGGAAGGTGATGCATGCATGCACATGGCTCTGTGAGCACTTTGGGAAATGCATTGCAGCAGTCCATGCAGCTCAGCTCCATGTTTTATGCAGGGACTTTTCATCTCTCTGCCCGTGTCACAGGGCTCTGCTGAGCAGCAGAGCATCCTGTTGTCCTGACAGCCACCCTTGCTGGGAGATCACCATTTGTAGAGCCCTTCTCTTCATTTCTAATTCTCTTTTCCTCACATTGCATTACATAGAGGAGCTCAGTGCACACCGATGGGCTTGTGTTTCATTGAAAAGCTGCTTTTTATTGAGAAAAAAAAAGGGCAGAAGCAGGCTGGGCTTGTGGTGTGTTGTTTTGTTGTGCAAGCTCTGTCTTTAAGCAGTGCCTTCTTTCAGGGAACATGAGAAAGAAGTGCAGAACCGCAAGAGAGGCAAGCGGCCACGGGGCAGACCCAGGAAACACGTGGTGAGTGCTGGGGTGTCTGCAGGGGGACTCCTCTTCATCCCTGATCCGATGGGGTGTAGGAGATGGGAGTGTTCCCTGGCCCCTGTGTCCCACCAGCACCGCAGGTCAGCCTGGTTTCATGGCACAGGGAAAGAACCTGCTTGTCTGCAGTGCCTGGCTGGACGCTGCCGAGTGGTTTGCAGTGCCCACAGCGGTGATTCCATCATTTGTGGTGACTTTTTCCATGCCCCTCTCCATTTGCTTCTTAGGAACCAGAGATGCCTTCGAAAAGTAAGTCGAGCAGCTCCTCTTCCTCAACGTCTTCCTCCTCCTCCTCCTCTGATGAAGAGGATGAAAGTGACCTGGAAGCAAAGAGAGGTCCCCGCAGCAGAGAGACCCACCCGGTGCCGCAGAAAAAAGCTCAAATCCTGGTGGCAAAGCCAGAAATGAAGGACAGTTCCAGAAAGAAACGTGGGCGGAAACCTCTCCCCCCAGAGCAGAAAGCAGCTCGAAGGACCGTGAACCTGACAAAGGTGCTGAAGACATCCCGGAAAGAGGTGGGGGGCAGCAGCAAGCTGCTGGGCAAGCTGCAGCCGCAGCACGGCACACAGGGCACGGGGCTGGCTGGGCTGAAGGAGCCACCGGGTGCATTGGCCGGGCTCAGCTCCGGGGGATCCTCGGCAGAAAACATCCCCAGTGCGATGAAAAGCGGCTCCAGCAGCCCCAGCCGGGCCATCAGCTGGCAGAGCTCCATCGTGCATTACATGAACAGGATGTCTCAAAACCAGAGCTCGGCCGAGACCTCGCCGCTAGGAAGGCTGGCGCTGAAGTCACAGGCATCCAGCAAGAGCGGCTTAGGGCTGGACTTAAAAATGAGGAACCAGAAAGGAGCTGGGGAGGTGGGGCTGTCCATGCAGGGAGCCAAGACCACCAAGGTTCCTGGCAGCGGCACCGGAGGGGATCAGAAATCGGGGTTCACCACCGGAGCCCAAATGCTGCACAATGGCAGCAAGACGCCCACAAGCTCCTCTGCGCCTGGGGGGCAGCAAGCATCCAGCCAGGAGCTGAACCTCCAAGCTTTAAACCTGCAGAGCGTCAAAAACGGGCAGAGTGCAGCAAGTGGGAGCAGCGCGCCTCGCCATGCCTGCAGCGCTCTGCCCAAAGGCGCCACCGCAGCCGCGGGTTTGGGTCCTGCTGGGTCCAAGGGTGGCGGAACCAATGCCGGCTTGAACGCTGCCAATGTGGGAGACGGCAGCAAGAGTGAGAAGCAGGCACGCAGGGCAGGTGCTGGTGACAGGGACGTGGCCAAGGGTGGCACGGCCGGCGGGCAGGAGGGGCACGCGGCCCCCGAGAGCCGCAAAGCAGCCGCCCTGTCCGAAATGAGTACAGGCGACGAGAGCAGCTCGGACTCGGATCGGGATTCGGCTTCCTTTCCCAGCGTGGGTCAGAACATGTCTGTCTCCATCCAGACCAGCCAGGACTGGAAGCCCACCCGCAGCCTGATCGAGCACGTCTTCGTCACGGATGTCACCGCAAACCTGATCACAGTGACGGTCAAGGAATCCCCCACCAGCGTTGGGTTCTTCAATGTCCGGCAATACTGAGCCGGGGAGCCGGAGAGCAGGGAGACGTCCTTCAGCTTCCCTCACCCTTGCCCAGCTCTCCCACCAGGTTTTCATTTCTTTAGGTACTGCCCCACGGCAGGGACTCACGCGATGACCTCCTGCCATCAGCCCCGTGCCCCTCCACTGCAGGCAGTGCCAGCTTGGACCTGCAGCCCCTCACACCCCCAGGACCCACTGGGAGCTGATGCAGAGGGTCGGGAAAGGTGGTGAAGCCTGCACAGAAATGCCAGCAGATGAAGTGGGCCCTCCCTGCCTCCTCCGTCCATCCGAGCCAGTGCCACTGGCCAGGAGCAAAGGCACTGGGAGGTGACAGCTGGCAAGTTCTGAGCCAGGCTTCGCTACATGAAGTTCACTTGCTTTATGGCTTGAGATGCCAGTGTGCGGCACGGGGCTCTGGCAGCAGGGAGAGGGGCAGAGGGGAGGTGCCAGGCTTACGCTTGGGAGAGAAGAGGGCAGCTCTCCTTTTTCTGTGTGCCCCAAGCTACCAGAGCAGCCATGATCCAAACGAGAGAGCTCCCAGCACCTCAGGGCTGCAGGGGCTGCAGGATGGGGGTTTTTCAGGGTACGGGAAGCCCAGCCACCCCCCTGGGCCAGGTCAGTTCCAGTGACAGTGAAGGCCGCGACATCTCTGTTGTGGTTTCTAGCGGAGAAGGAAAAACTGTTTACATTTCTTCTTAAGGGAAAATCTTTTCTTTAGAGGGAGGGGCACAAACGAAATGCAGATGAACAGACATCAGGTCTGGCTGGTGCACTGCACAGCCCCCCAAACCACTCCTTGTCCTGGCACCACGTGCTCAGCAGCTCGCAGGGACCGAGCTGGGCAGTGCCCATCAGCCCTGTGTTTCCCAGGCTGTGAGGTGCCCACACTGCCTGGCACAGGAAGGGCAGCAGGGGAGCTGGTGGCATCCCACGGCCACCTCCAATCCTGTGCCAGCCCCTTGGGCTTGTAATCACAACCAATAATGGCTTTCCTAGTGAGTGAGGTCTTTTTCCCTGCTATAGATTATTGTTACGAGCCAAAATTAACAGCAGTAGTTCAGGCAGAGTTTAATAGCGTTTGGGGTCATTTTCGTTCTATTAATGCCAAACTCCTGCTCTGGAGATGGCACAAAGCCTGCAGCCTGCCAGGTCTGTGGGTACGCCCATGGGAAATGCTTCTGAGGCTCCGCTGTGCTCGCAGAGCTGGCATCTGGCATTGCTGCAGATGGCACTGCAAGGAGATGCCAGCACCTGTATCCCTGTAACACCTGGGGCTCCCTGCCCCACTCACCAAATGTTTGCTAGTTGGCCTTTGCAAATCCAAACTGAACGACCATGTGCCTTTTTGCAACCGTCCTTACTTCTGTGTCTGTGACACCACTCCTGCAACAGGTTTGTGCCTATGCAAAGCTGGGTGGTGCCAGGGTCCTGGGGACAGCTGTGACACCAGTGGGGGACACCCGGTCGAGCCGTGACGCCGTGTCATGGCTGCTCACAGGGGGAAGCCCATGGGGATGCTCCTACCTGGGGCATGGGGCTGCCGTCCCCACCGTCCCCGTGTCCCCTCGGTGGCAGCAGGTCTCTGCCATCCCTGCTTTTGCTCTTGTGCCTTTCTGCTCACCAGCCGGTTCAATTCCAAAGGTGTAAGGACGGTGAAAATTATCATCTAGAGTTTTGTCTTCATCCCATCCCACCCCCTGTTGCCATTTCTCTCCTGACCTCACGTGTGTCTGAGCAGAAGGTCCGTGCTGGAGGCTGCTTCCCATGGGGGGTCTCGTGGGACCAAGCGCAGCTTTGGTGGACGGAGCCACGTTCACCACTCAGTGCCATTAGTATTCAAGGTCTACCTTCCTATTTTTTATTTGGAGTTTGCTGCTATGGGTTTGAGTGTTCAGTTGTACGTCAAACAAGCAATTAAAGGTTTGTCACTTGGCATTTCTTAAGGGCTTTCCGACGTGGAAAGTCCTGCAGTATTTGTATATTGAATGGATATTTTCTCCGGGCATAATCTGGTTAAGGATGCTTGTTGTTTTCCATTGGACTGGAAGGAGAGGCCGACGCAGCCGCCGTCCTTAGAAGCTTAGTATATTTTTATATATATATTTTGTACCAAAAAATAAATGGAGTTGGCGGAGGGTTGGGGATGCTTTTGGAGGATTCCATCTGCTCTGAACTCTGATCTGAGCACGAAGGGCTCCGGAGGTGGAGAGAAGGGTTTTACTGAGAGAAGCTGAGGGATGGGTGAAAACAAACTGTTGTTGTAACTCACGATTTGTATGTTTTAATTAAAGAGAGAGCCAAATCATTCCTGTATGACGCTTCTGACTGCTTTCAGCTACAACTGCTTGTCTGCTTTTCTATACTGAGAACAAAAGTTGGAGATGGAATCGCCCAGGGAATGCTCAGAGGCTTTGCTGGGCGCTGTGGGGGCTCCCAGGGGCTGTCACAACCCCCCTCCCCCCCAGGCAGTCGGGTCTCCCTGTGCCACGGCACTCAGTTTCCTATGTGTGTCCTGTCCTGGTGCTTTGGTACCAGTGCTGCTTCAGACCCGGGATCTTTAGGCTCCTTGTAATTTATTGCCAGGAAAACACCAGGAGATGGCACGTGGGGTGGGGGGTTCTTTTTAGTTTTGCTTTTGGTTGTTTTTGTTTTAATGAGTATAACTTTTCCACTGCTCTTTTTTTTTTGGCAGGTCAGTGTTTTATTATTATTTTATTTATTGTCACTTTTCAGCCTGCTGTGGTCTCCGCTCTACGAGCACCGCCCTGCCCTGGGGGTACGGAAATGGGGGGGGGGGGGGGGGGGAGGGAGGAGGAGGGCGGAGCGGGGCGGCCGAAGGCTGCGGGAGGGATCGGAGCTTCTGCACTCCACGCTGAGCGAGGGGGGCACAGGGCTGAAGGGAACGGGGAGGTGAAACCGCCTCCCCGCGAGGAGCTCCTGCCCACCAGGGGAATGAGCGCGGAGCTGCGGGCTCTGCTGCGAGGCGGCTGAGGATGGGGATGGAGATGAGGGTGGGGATAGGAATAGGAATAGCGACAGGGATGGAGATGAGGATGGGAATGGGGATGGGAATAGGAATAAGGATGGGGATGGGAATAGGAATAAGGATGGGGATAAAGATAGGGATGGAATGGAGATGGAGCTGTGCCAGACCTGGGGCTCTCAGGTGCTTCGGCTCAGCACGACCCGCGCCCCACACGTGCTGGATCCGAGCACGGGCTGCCTGCGGAGGGCGCTGCGCGGCCGCAGACGAGCACCGGCCCCATCCTTCCATCTCAGCCGCCGCGGCGGGGCGGGGGGCGAGGCAGCCCCGAGACGGGCATTGCCCACGCCCAGCCTTCGCCGTCGAGGGGCCGCCGTCGGGGCGGAGAGGCAGCGCCGGGTTACGGGGCGGCGTCCGGGTTCGTCGGGCCGTGCCCCGGGGCTCCTCCGGCCGCGCCCCCGCCCCCTGCGGATCGTCCCCACCCCCTTCGCACCGCCCCGGCCCGGGGCCCCGCCGCGCCCGTGTGAAAGGGTCCCCCCCGCTGGGCCGGGGGAGAAAGGCGCCATTGTGCGAACCTTTCTCCCGCTCCTACTTGACACTCATTTTCCGCGCAAAGATGCTGACAGCTCTGATAATAAGGGGGTCTGCGCCTTTCACCCAGCGGAGCAGAAAAAGGAGGTTAATGAGGACACAGCTTTAAAAAAGAAAAAAAAAAATTAAAGAAAAAAAAAACAAAACAAAAAAAAAAAAACACCAAAACCAACTCTCGCTTCACCCCCAGCTACGCGGCCGGGGGAGATTTGAATACAAAGGCCGGGCTCAGTCCGGACACGGCCCCGCATCGCACCGCCCGCATCCCGCGCCGTCGGAGGGCCGATCCGTGCCCGTCGCAGCCGCCCGGCTCTCCCCGCACCCGGCCCTGCTCTGCGGGAACGGTGCGGGCTCGGACCCCGCTGCCCGCTCGAAGCCTTTGCGCCCAGCACGGCCGCACCCGGCCACGCACATCACCGCCCGCCCCGTCGGAGCCCCGCAGCTCCGTTGCCCCCCCACGGCTCCCTCCTCTGCTCACCTCCGGCCACAAACGGGAGAAAGACACGTTTCTATTTACAAAGTATATATTTAAACTCACATAAAAAGCAGGTCTCGTACGGACATTCACGGCTGGCAGAAGACACGTAAGTTAAGCTTCACTTTTCTGAGACTGAGATTTAGCCAAATCTTTGTTTGTTTGTTTTTATACAAGTCTTAGATTTAAATAATTCACGCACACACACCCCCACGCACACGCTCAGTATATACGTCGCTATATACATACACACATATACACCCACATGTACGGCTTGCTCTATATACGTGTTACACGGGGCTGCGGGAGGCAGAGCCCTGCCCCGGCATTTCGCACATTTCTCAGCCTTCAGCACCTCTGCAGGTGGAGGGAGGGAGGCTCCGTCCATCCTCAATCCCAGCCCGCAGCTGCTGAGCCCCAGCACCGATCCCAGCACACAAACCGAGGGAAAAAATCTCCATTTTACAAAATATGCCTCGGAACGAAACAAAACAAAGAAACAAAACAAACGACGACGACAACAAAAAAATAAAAGAAGTCACAGACACGGCTCCCTTTGTACAGTCAATACAGCATCCTCTCGCTACGTCATCTGACAAAGGCAACGGTCCCAAAAATGGAAGGGCAGAGGGGCACGGCCAGGCGGAGCGTGGCTCTCCCATTGGGCTGAAGGGAGGCTCCTCGCCGAGCCCCATCTCCCCACTGGGCCCCATGTGCTTTCAGCTTCTGTGCAGCCCCCAGACCAGGAAGCGTTGAAGAGCTTCCTCGGGCCAATAGGAAAGGATGGAAAAGGCCAATCTTCCCCCAACCCCAGGCCCTCGGGGGCTGCCGGACAGATTTGTGCTTTCGAACGGCCAGAGATGCTCAAATCAATGCGCGAGGACACGAGGACACCTGCTCTACATCAACTAAAAAAAAATACAACAGAACGGCCCCCCCCCCGACATCCCCAAACCCGGGTTCAGCTGCAATGGAGTTTAGAGGAAAGCAAACGGAGGGGGCAACGGGAGCAGAGGGGAGAACTGCTCCCCAGGCAGGGCCACCCAGCCCCACTGCCACGGCACTGCGGGGCTGCGCAGCCCTCGGGAGCCACGAGAGATGGGCAGGGAAATGCAAACACTGAAAGCCACCCCGAGTCAGCAGGAGCTGCTCCGCACAGGAAGATTCAGCCCCTTGGCTATTGTTTAACCAGCAGAAGAAAAGGGAAATATTTATTGTCTCTGAATGCATCAAGGTGGCTCTGGGATTTGTCAGGGATGTGGATATTACAAAACGTTGCACCGGGCGCCTTCCGACTGCCTGAAGTGAAACGTGGTGGGGAAAGGGGGGGAAAAAAAAAACCCACAACAATCCGCTTTCTATAGCAGCATAAAGCATCTAAATATGGGCAGCCATACGGTACCCTCCCAAACCTCTCTGGCATTTCAGGAATGTAAACAGAGTTGTTGGCTTTTTTTGTTTTGTTTTGTTTTTTTGGAAGCGGGTGGGGGAAAAAGAATCAAGCGACCAGACAAAATGAAAACAGATTCTCAGCTCAGTTCTGTCTCCCACAACTGCTGTGACAATTCTATTAAAGTGCATTGCAGTATCTCCCCTCTCAGGAACCTCACACGCAAACCTCCTCTTCCTTCGCAAGGAAAGGTAATTCAAGTTAATGCTCCACTAGAACGGTTTCAGGCTCTTTATGGACTTCTGCTTTTCCCCGCCCCGATGTTGCAGCCACTATTTGTTTTTAAATCTGGAAACGCCCCCTCCCCAGCAATACTGTCAATTCAAGTGCCAACTTCAGCCGTCAAGGGCAACAGTTCTGGATACAGCACACTTGATTGTACAAGCAACACCTTAATATCACAATCAAGAAATCCGGGGCATCTGACCCCGAGGGGGGAGTAACGCGTCCCCCATCACCATCCATAGCATCATATGGAAAATAATAGTTAAAAAAAAAAATAATAATTAAAAAAAAAAAAAAAAATCAGAACGTAATTTGCTATGAACATCGTTATGTACAGCGGCTCCTGCAACAGATGCGTGAACTCCGTTGGTTCTCAGTTTTATTGTCCTTTCTAAGAGCAACTGAGCAGTCACTGTTGTCTCCATTTAAATAAAACAACTCAGAGTTGAAATATATATATAGATATATATATAAGCATTTTCTTCTTAAATAACATATTTACATCTAATAGAAAATATAACTCTAGAGATAATCTTTCCAACGAAATGTGAGACGTGGAGGAAAAAAAAAAAAACCAAACAAACAAAAAGAAGAAGAATGAGGGAATGAATTTAGGACAGTTTCTAAATCCTCTCCAGGAAATTAACAAAAAAAAAAAAATCAAAATCAAAAGAAGAAAAGAAAAAAAGCCCACCAAGCTCTGACCAAGCTTTTGTCTGGATCTAGCCCGAAGAAAAGCCCCAGCACCACCACCAGCGGGAACTCATCGCTTCTCCTTAAAGAATCCTTGGTCCGTGCTGCTCTCCTTAATGGTGACGGTCAAAAAGTTAGAGGTCACATCGGTGACCACCACCTTCTCCAGGTTGCTGAGCGAGGGGCTCCACGACTCCTCCTCGGGATCCCCCAGGATCCGGGCCACCGGGATGCGGGCGATGAGGGAGGGCCGCCCTGCAGGGCCCCCGCCATCACGGAACAGCCCCCCCCCGGGGCCGGGCCCCACGGCTCCGTGCAGCAATTTGGGGTCCAGCCCGCCCGGCCCTTTGGGGTCCAGCAGGTCGGAGCGGTGTTTGGCCACACGCGGTGCGTAGGGGTCGGCGGTGCCCAGCTTGGTGCCCACCTCCAGGCGGTTGGGGCCGGGCACGGCGCCGGTGAGGTCGGGCTCTGGTCGGCGCGCCAGCTGGATGACGCTGTGTCCCGAGGAGAACTTGGCGGCCCCCGCCGCCTCCTCCATCTTCCTGGCCTTGAGGTAGTCCCCCACTTTGTCCCCCGGCTCCCCCAGTTTCCTCTTGGAGGCGTCCAGACTCTCCGCCAGCTCCTTATACAGCTCCTTCCTGGGTTTCGGGCCCCGTTTTTTAGGTGTCTCCCCGGGTTTCTCCTCCACCCGGAGGACGCGGTCCCGCACGCCGTCCGCTTTGGGCACGCTGCTGCTGCCGCTGCCCTGCGGGGTCAGGGCCATATTCCTGAGTCCTTCCCGTGCACGGGACGTGGAGCCCAACTCCTGCGGGGATCGCCCGGGGTACGGCACCCGGATCCCCCTGGATGAATCGCTGCGGAACTCATAGGTTTTGGCTTTGGCCTTCG